TGGGCGATGCCCAGACCTCAGGTCTCCAGGCTCTGAAACACAACGCCAACCCAGGGTTTCTACCCCGGGTTGAAAACGCCTGGGAATGCCTCAAAAACACCGATGCCCAGGCCCCGACCCGGACCAAGAACAGCAGGAGCTGGGGAGGGCAGTGGGGGCCCAGCTAATTCTAACATGCGTCCGAGATGGAGAACCATGGGCGGGAATATTCCACAGACAAAAACACCCTTTGTAAGATCGGCACGCCGAGTTTTAACACAAGTTTTAATTTTCACCACTAAGAATATTTGCCTGCTGTTCAAACTGTGTACACACATTTACCCTGAGTTTAATTTGTTGTGTAGAACTGATTTGGTTCTTTTACAAAGTGCTGTAAGTTAAGAATAAATTGCTGCTTGGAATTCTGTGGTTATCGTACTACCGTTTGGATATAAAATTCACTTAATTCAGAGCATCTGTGCCATCAGTGGTGCTGTCCCCTATGGACTAGCTCACAGGACACTGTCCCCAAATCTGTGCCGTACTTCCCTATTTCTGGCAGCTGGAGGCAGAGCCCTCCCCCCTCCCCCACTGTCGAGCCACACGCCCCCCTCCCCCGCCCCCCACAGTGTGTCTGGGCTGCCCTGCACCCCTCCCGGAGTCGGGGACCCTCTCTCCACATGGCCACAGGCCCCAGGGCCTCTGGGGCCCTCCCTACCCTCCGGCTGTTCCTTCCCCAGTTCCTCCCTGGGCTCCTCTCCCCAGCCTGGGTTCTGCCCACCACACCCACCTGTGCCCAAGCACCCGGCTCTCCAGGGTCTCTGGGCTCCCCTGGTGACTCACGGGAAGAGGACGCTCTGCCGGGTGCCCACAGCGCTGGGATCCGCACATCCAAAAGGACAGAAACATCTCGCCTAGAAGCCGCTGCTCCTTCGGCTTCGGTCCCCGGCAAACATCCCCAGGTGCTAATCTCGGCTTCCACTGAGCACCCTGATAGGTGAGCACACCTGGGCAGGTGGGACCCGTCTGGAGCTCTCTGGGCCCCAGTGCCAGACCTAGAGTGACATCCTTGGGGCCTCCGGGGCAGGGCGACGGTGCCAGCAAGGGAACCGAGGCTCAGCGAGGCCACGATGCCGGCTGAGGCAGCCCGAGCCGGCGAGTGGGGGGTGGCGTTTCCAGACTCCAAGGCTCTCGGCCCCACTGGTAGCTCATCTCAACCTAACAGAGGCAAGGCACGTTCTTCCCATTACAGATGTAAAAATGAAGCTCAAAGCGCAGAAGTAGCTCAGCTGAGATCATGCAGCTAGCAATGGGCATACGTGCAATTACAGCCCACATATCCCAACAGACACCAGCATGCGTGATGCCCTCCAAGTCACGCTCCCGCCAGGCCAGCCTGTCCCAGGCCCTGCCTACCCTGCCCTCCACTCAGGGAAGGTTGGGGGCTCAGCAGCTGCCGTTCTTACTAGTCTCCGGCTTCCGACCTCAATCCTTCCACCCACCCTCCACCCCGTGGCCAGAGCGATGGCTTTGAAGCACAAACGTGGCCACGTTACTCCTCCGCTTAAAACCCTCTGTGGCCCCCACTGCCGGCAGACGGAGGCCCAGTCCCTGCTGTGGTTTCCCCACAGCCCAGCCCTCCTGCCCTCTAGCCTCACCTCGGCCCCAACTCAGCCGCAGACAGGCGTGGCTCCCGCCAGTCTCGCTCACGCCACGCCCACGTGCGGCTACCCACCCTCCCTGGTCTCCCCGCTCACCCCAAAGACGCCGCCTCTCCGGGAGCCTGCCCAGCCCACCACGGCTGGGGCCGCCACAAAACAAGTCTCCAGTGGGACCAGGGCCATAGCTGTGTGCCTGGGTCTCTCAGCAGCAGGACGGGCTCCCTGGGGGCAGGGACTGCCTCGTCCCTAGTCTTAGTCTGTGTCCATTGCTTACGGCAGAATGCCCGAGACTGGGTAATCTGTAAGCCACGAAGTTTATCTCTGACGGTCTGGGGCTGGGAGTCGAGGCTGAGGGGCTGCATCCTGCGAGAGCCCCTTGCTGGCAGGGACTCCGTGGCGTCCGGGGCGGCCCAGGGCGGCCGGGGTGCGGGGCTGAGCGTGCTGACCTGCTGGCTCAGGTCTCCCTTCCTCTCCCTGTAAAGCCCCCCACCGGCCGCACTGCCCCGACAACCCACTAATCGGGAATGGATTAATCCACTCCTGGGGGAGGGGCCTCCTGACCCACGCACTTCCTAAGGCCCTACCTCTCCACGCTGCCACCCTGGGGGTCAGATTTCAATAGTGTTGGAGGGGACCAACGCCCAACCCCAGGGGCCGACACCCTCCGTATCTGCCCTCCCAAGCCACATGCAAGCGGCTGCCCTGCGGCCAAGCCTGAGGCTCAGCACCGGGGCTCCCTGGTGTGCGCTCCAGGAAGGCGCCAAGGGACGGGCTGGGGTCTGGAGACCTGCTCAGTGGTCCCGCCGCCCGGTTGGCTCCTCTGCAGCACGCGCAGACCGGCCACTGGAGGTCAGCATCGGGCCGCATCGCGCAGAACGGGGCTCCACCAGGAGCGAGGGGACCCCGCCCCGCTCCCTGTGGTTGGGCAGGGCTAGTCGGGAGGCCTCATGGAGGAGGGGGTCTGCAAAGTGCTTCCCTGCACCCACAGCCCCACACCTGAGAACGGGGGCTGGTTCTCTTCCCTGCACAAGCTGAGCATCTCGCATGTACACACACACCACCTCCAGGAAGTCCTCCCTGCTGCAGCCTGCCCCTCGCCAGCCTCCTGCCCTACTCAGCTGACTGGAGGTCAGTGTTCCCTCCAGGCACCCAGGCGAGCTGCCCAGGCCCCAGGCTGAGACCTACCCGGGTGTGGGCAGGTGGGGCTCCTTCTGGGACAACACACACCGGCCCCACACGTGAAAGCCTGGCGCCCCCAGGATCTCAGCCTAGTCCTTTCCTCACTCTGGGGCAGGAGAATTATGACCCCAGTTTGGCAAACGACGACACGGAGGCTCAGAGAGTTTGGGCAACTCGCCCTGGGTCACACAGGAAGAAGGGAGCCACCTCCAGCCCCGCCCTCCTGGTCTTCCTCCCTCGGGAGAGGGTCCAGCCCCCGCGGCGTGCGTGACGGCCGGTCTGGAGCACGGGTTCACAGGGCCCCTGCCCAGACTCTGCCAGGACAGAGCCCTGGCTGCACGGGACGCACCCGGCTGCGGCAGTGGACCAGACTCTAGGCCAGGTCACAGGCAGCACGCGGGCGCCCTGTGCCCTGGGGCACCCCAGGGGGGCAGGCGAGGGACGGGAGCAGAGTCCCGCCTCTGCCTCCAGCGTCTCGCGTGGCCACAGTGGCCACGACGATGAGCAGGGTCTGAGGGCTCCCCTGCAAGGCGGCTCCCGCACTCATCGGAGGAAGCCTCGGGCTCCGAGTTTCCGGGGAGCCCAGGGTGGCGGCAGCTCCTCGGGGAAGCTCAGTGCCCTGTGGCTGCAGGGTCAGCAAGCACACGCCAGCGAGACTCCTCGTCACCTGCAAAACGGGGCAGCAGCCTCACCACCTCCTGGTCGCCGTGGAGATGTGCTCTCAGCTGTCAGCAGCTGACACAGAAGCACCAGAACTGGAGATGGACAGAGGGTGCTTGGGCCTCAGGACTCGGCAAGCGTGGGGGACAGAAGCCAGCCCGGCCACGCGGGGGGAGGGGCAGGGCTATCTTCTGGCCGTGCCCCCGCCCGGCCCCTCCCACATCCAGACGCTCCAAGGCCCAGCACGGCCTCCCCGGGGGGCACCTCTCACACCCCCACTGACCCCACCGACACGGCTTGTCCGGGCCAAGAGGTTTCCCGGGATGTGGGACACCCAGCTGAGAGCTGGACAATCCCAGACACACCCAGACTCCTGGTCATCCTCCTCCCACAGAGGGGGTGTGGGGGTCACGGGGTCACCAGGGCAGGGCTCTTGAGAGGGCACCAACGCCAGGGCCTGTGCTCACAATATCCTGACTCGGTCGCCATGGCTACAGGAGAGCAAGGCCCACTCGTGGGGGTGGGGCCTGGGCCTTGGCTGTGACTCCCTGGAGTTGGGGGAAGGGCCCAGCCTCACCTGGGCCAGGCAGGAGCACCTGGCCCCCTCCAGCTGGGAAGGAAGAGCCCCGGGTCCTGGGTTCTAGACACACTCATAAGACCCACTGTCCACACCCGGGCACAGCACAGACAGCGGGGAGACAGAGAGGGGGCGTGTAGAGGAGCTTGGGGTGCTCTGGGCATGGGAAGGCGGCCCCGACCGAGGGCAGGAGCCGAGCTGGGTGCCCCAAGCCCGTGGAGGGGCCGTGGCGGCCTCCTGGTCGTCCACCCCTCTCTGTGCCCCTCCCAGGCTTGTCTGGACTCTACTCCCCTCCCAGATGGGCGCCATGAAGCTCCTTGTGCCCTCAGCCCCGGTGGACCCTCCTCTCCCCTCAGGGACCCCAGCCTGACCCTGGCTCCCCTGGTCCCTGCCCGGCCCAGGCTCCGTCCAGCCCGGTGCCCTGGCCTCCCGGGTCTGGCCCAGGCTCTGCTCCTGGCTTCTGTACTCAAGCCATCAAGCTGAATTCTGTTGCTGTGCGTGTTCTTTAAATCACCCACAAACATGGTGGACGGTGACGTGGCCAACACCAAACCCTGGCTTGGGATGAGGTCCCGACCTCCTCGGGTTCCCCAGGTCTGCAAAATGAGGGGCCACACCCTCATTTTGGGCCAATGAGCCCAAAGCCCCGTGAGCTCATGATTCTGGAAGCCAAAGAGCCTGCAACTCGGGGTTAGAATTGTTACCCCATAGCTGCAAACACCAAGGAGCTGTGGGCAGCAGGCAACGTGCCCCCCATGCCCCCAGGCCTGGCTCAGGGTGGCAGTTTGATGGCCACAAGACCCAGCAGAAGACACTGCCCAGCTTCCCTCCTTGCTGGCCTGGCCTTGTCCGCAATGACTGAGACCACAGCTCTGTGGGCAGAAGGTGAAGGAATCGTCCAGTCCTGGATTTAAACCTCTGTCCACCCCCTTGAGGACCAAAAACTATGGTGGCCATAGGTGGGCCCGGCACACCTAGATTCTCACCGCAGAAACCTGCTGCGTGACCCAGCAGGCCAGGCAAGAAGCCAGGTCAGCACAGGGCCGGGGGTGGGGCACAATTCCTGCCCTTCCCAGCTGCAGACATGCGTGTTGGAGATGGACGGAGGCCCTGACTAGGCCACACACCGCCTCCCAGCACAGCCCACGGCACCAGCCTGGAGTCCCCCCACGCCATGTGTGCACACCCAGCTCCAACACACGGACATCACACCCACATCCATGCAGCCTCCCAACCCAGCAGGGATGCAGTTGCTGTGGCAACCTCACGACTTTGAAAGCCTGCTTCTTCCAGTTCCTCTCCCAGCGAAAGCCCCTCCACCTGCCATCCCTAGGGTGGAGGAAGGAAGCCCTCCAGGACCCTGTGGGAGGGGCCCAGCAAGTCTCCCTGCCATACTGGGCTGAGCACACTGGGATGGGGACAGAGTGAACCCAGGCCCCCGTCCAGGACTCCAGGGAGCATGGGCAGGAAGGACAGATGTGTGTGTCCCACAGGGCATTGACCAAAAGGGCCAGGACGAATGGAGAAGCTGAAGCCCCTTCTGACCGTGAAGATTCCTTGGCTTCCCAGACCTGAGTTGCCACTCACATCTCTGTCCAGCTCAGTCCCTTACACAAAGCCCCCACCCCAGACTCTGGCAGCAGATCCCGCCCCTGCCTGACCAGGTTCTGGGCTGGGTAGAGCTGCCGTCCTCACCAGGGCCTGGGGTCACAGCCCTAGCCCCCTCTCCCACCACTGCCAGAGTGGTGGCAAGAGGGTCCCTTCCGTGACCCCGGACAGAGGTGCCACCCCCAACCCCCAGGTCCCAGCCCAGTCTGGGCCCCCAGCACTGAGCCCAGGGCGTGGTGCTTGGCGGGGCACACGGGTGTCTGTTTACACGGGAGCAAAGGAGAGAAAGTGGGGCTGGGGCAGCCCTACCTGCAGGAGGCCGGGGGGAGGGGGGCTAGTGCCATGGCTGGGGGCCCCAGGGCTGAGGGTGCCTTTACCCCTGTCCTGGCTTGCACAGCAGAATTCCCCCCCCGTGCAGAGGACGGAGATCCAGAGGGAGATGGTACAACAGGCCCAATGGTTGGATGCCACCCCTGCAGCCCGGGGGGCCGCCTCGGACCCCTCCCAGGATCAGGGCCCACAGAGTCCTGAAGCTCACCAACGCCCCCTGGCGTCCCCTAGACCATGGCCTGCTCCGCACAGCGGCACCCTGCTCGCCGGACGAAGGGGCCACAGAGAGCATGTGGGCAGCAGATGTGTCCTGCCAGCCCTCCCCACCGCCCACCGGGCACTGCTCCACGGCCCCTCGAGCAGAGGCGGCACCGGGCACAGGCCCCCAGGTAACAGGCACCCTCAGGCTCCGTACTTGGGAGAGAGCCTCAGAGCATGTCCGTGAGACGTGTGTGCAGGCCCGAATGGGGCGTGGAACTGCATCCACAAGTCACCCGTGTGAATGTGAGTGGAGCCAACCGTGTCAGCCTAGCATGAGCGAATGGGACGGGGCATGTGAACACGGCACATGTGGGTGAGATGCCATGAACAGAGGACAGGAAATGCATGTGGGACAGTGACCATGTGGCCGCGGGGCTCCGCAACTGTGCTGACCTCCTGCTCCACCTCTGACGCCCCCTCCGCCCCAGACCTCTCCTGCCAGCTCCCCCAGCCCAGCCCAAGAGATCCTCACCCCACCATCCGCACGCAGCAGTGTCAGCAGGACACGGCAATGCACGGTCCAGTACTGATCTGGAGACGTCCGTGCAAATGTGGGGTGCACGTATGTGACTGTGTGAGGGAGGGCATGTGTGCGTGTGCTGGAATCTGTGTGCAGGCGTGTGTCTGTGCATATTTGTGCACTATGCTCAGGACACCAGCACTGACCAGGACAGCTGAGGCTTTTGCAGGAGGCTCAGGCCAGCTCCTTCCTCTGAGCTCGGGGTTGGTGCCAGGCAGGTAGAAGGGGAAGGAAATGGGCCAGGCCAGAAGCTCCCTGACCACTAAAAGAGCCCATCATTCTGGCCCTGCCAGCTGCCAGCCTGGACCTGTTCTCCCCTGCCCGGGAGCCCCAGGTTGTGGCTTCCGGAAGATGGGACCTGCCTCAGCCCGGCCTTTCTCCTCCAACCTTCCACCCGTGCCTCATTTGCCCACGGAGGGAGAGCCTGGCCCGAGGTCGACAGTCCCGGCCACTGCAGCTCCCAGAGCTGATGCCCACGCTCCACAGGCCCGGAAGCCAGCCGGGCCCCTGCAGAAGGATGAGCCCCCAGGCCTGTGGGGCCATAGCAAGGCCTGGCTTTCTTGTCTCGGCCACAGTGGTTCCGCGGGAGCCAAGGATGGAGCCGGAAGCCTGGGGACTTAGGCATGAACCAGCCTTGCTGTCCAAGGATCTCTTGGCAAGAACACGCAGCCTGGGAGAGACTCAGCCTGGGCCACCCTGCGGGCACCGGTGGAGAAGTCACAGGGCACACGCCCTCCTGCCCACCCTCATGCGTGTCCACGGGAACTGAGCGCCCGACTAACCCTCCCACTGGAGATCGCCCTCCCCTCCCGCTCTGCCCGTGATCTCCACGTGACCACAGCTGCCTCCAGCCTGGGCACAGGTGAGACCCCTTCAGCCTCTCCTACCACGGGGGACCCAGGGAGGAAGGCTGGGGAAGGTGGCCCCTCGGGGCCTTTGTGGGAGGAAGCAGGGAGCAGAGCAAGCGCTTTGTAGGTGACTTAAACAACCCACCCCCAGCCCTGAGACCCAGCCTGGGCCCTCCAGGGAGCGACTGATCGTGCCTCCTTCCTGTTTGTGTGTGCAAGTCGTGATGGAAGCTTTGCAGACAGGTTCCCTGAGCAGGGACCTGCCGCCTACATGCGCCATGTAGGGTGGGGCGGCACACGGGCAGGGCAGGCTCAGCGTTAGCGCAAAAGGGAGGCGCCACGCCCCGGCTGCTCTGCCAGCCCCACCACCCGAAGGCCGTGCTGCTGCCCACAGGACTTGGCATGCCATCCCGACCTCTGACCTCCCTGTCCCGGACAACTCCAGGGCAGGGCCGCTGCAATGGCGTCTGCCCCAGCCTGCTCAGCCCCTTCTGCCCCAACCTCTGGCCAGAGGACCTCACCCCTGGGCCCTCCCTTCCTCGAGGCCCTGGCCTCCCTCAGTTGCCTGGCCTCCCCTACCAACCTCCCCACTGTTTCTCCCAGAGCCCCTCCCTGTACACACACTCGCACTCACTACCTAGTCACTGTCGGCCTCCCCTGCTGAAGGGTCAGCCCTGTGAGAGCAGGAGTTTTTCCTCTTTGTTCCCTGCTACATTCCTGGGTCAGTATCTGCAAAGTCAGTGAAAGACTCAGGGCCTAAGGGTAGGGTATTTGGGAGGTGGCTGAGAAGCCCCTGCACGAAACCCCCTCACCTGCCCCAGCCCTCTCACCTGCCCCAGCCCTCTCACCTGCCCCAGCCCTCTCACCTGCCCCAGCCGAGGGCTCTGCCTGCATGGGCGGGTCGGGGATCAGAACCCGTAAGCCGAGGCCCCCCTGGGGTGGCTCAGTGCTGATTGGCAGAGCAGAGAGAGGCAGCAGGTGACCAGGGGCGTGCAGGGTGTCCTGGGTGAGACATGGTCCCTCCCGGTTTTACAAATACATTGTGTTCTCTCCGCTTCCCTGAGAATCCACCTGGAATCCCGGGAGACTGGCGTGGAATCACTGCCACTGCTCTGAAGAGCGAAGCCGCCCAGTCACCTGCTTAGAGGTGGCTGGGGCCGGGCCTCCTGCTGGCCTTAGTGGCCCGTCCCCGTCCTCGGGAGCCGCCAGGAGGCAGGGAGCAGGGCACGTGGCTGGACTCCACGTGCGGGCAGAGCCCCCCACCTGCCAGAGCTGACATGGCCAACACACACCCAAGCGTTTCCACGTGGGTCTGTACGTGTGCTGTGTGTGCGGGTACATGTGTGTGCATGTGTGTGTGGAGACCCGAGTCACAGGCAGCGCTGCGGGAGAGGCGAGGGTGGCCGCCATATCCTCTGTGAAATGACAGTAAGAACAGACCCGGCTCGCTGGAGCTGGCCGAGTGTTCCGGCCGTCTGGGGAGGGGATGGGGGTGGGGGAGCCCCCGCAGCGCACCCGACCCCAGGCCTGAGGGCTCTTGCAGAAGGAGCCGGCTGTGGGTGCGGGAGCCGGCTGAAAGCACAGGGGCCCTCTGACCCGCCCCCCAAGTCCACGCCAGGAACCGCCTGGGACGGGCTGGCCACCACGCCTGCCTGCGGAACACGGCCACAGCAGCCCGCCGTCCACAGACTGGGGCCGGTGAGTCGGGGTGCAACTAGCCAAGGAAGAAACGTGGGGGACGGGAGGGAACTGAAGCCCAACCTCTCACCGCCCAAGCAGACTCGCCTGTGGCTGGTGGCAGCGGGCAGCTCGGGTGGGCGCCAGGGTGGGTTCTCTGCAGCCTCTCACGGCTGGCCCAGTTCTGCGGGAGTCTGTGCTCCTCTTTCAGCAAAAGACAAAAGAGAAGTTGGATTGTCTGTGGCCAAGTTCTGCTTCCACATGAGGACAAACAGACCCCACACTCAGCTGAGGACACACAGCCCACCTCAGACGCAGCACAGAGCTCCCCGCAGAAGCCCCCGTGCAGGCAGACACAGGCCACGCACACGCACACGCACACGTCCATAGCGACCCACAGACAGAGGCACAGGTGCCCTCAGTGCCCACCGCCTGCAGACCTGGGCCTTCCTGACGCGCAGGCACACATGTGCACACTGGGGCGTCCGCCTGGGTGAGTGAGTGCTGCGGGGACCCTGGGACAGCCAGTGGCAGGCGCCACTGCAGCACGGAGGGGGCACCTCCCTTGGCTCCGCGTCAGCAAGTGGGCCCGCCTCCCTCCCTCAGCACTGCCTCTCGGGGAGCCAGCGGGCTGGGGCTTCGGCAGCCAGCCAGGCAGGTCCTGCAAGCTCCCTCCACCCCCCAGCTGGGGTCTGTCAGTGACCAGTGACGGCCAGGCCTCCCCTGCACCCTCCCGCCACCTGCTCCAGCGACTGCCTGCAGAGAGCACAGAGCACACCAAGGCCACCAACTTCTGGCCACGAAGCACAGGACAGGTCAGTGGGAGCAGGGAGGCAATGCACCACCGGGCAGGTGCCGGGCGGGCGTGTGCTCTGGGACACCGGGAAGAAGGCTTTTGGGGTTCGCAGGGGCTGGAGATGCATGGGGAGGTGCATTGCCACGGGCCGGCCCTGACTTTATTTGGATTGTGCACCGGGACCTCCAGGGCAGCACAGGGGGGCACGGGCAAGTCCCCTGCTCCCAGGAGGGTGTGGTCAGCGGGAATGGTTTGGGGACCAAAAGTGCCTCCCAGGGGAGGGCAGAGAAGGCCCCCGAATGCCCCTCTGGGCTCCCTCCGGCCCCAAGACCTGAAGGGACAGAGTGACCCCGTGTGCCCTTGACCCAGCCAAGTGGCCACAACCTCTGCCAGAGAACTCGGCGTGGCTGCTGTTCTCACAGCCGGACCCCAAAGTGTACGGTTGTTTCTTCCCCAGACTCCAGGCCAAGGAGGGCCCCGCCCAGACACCCAGCTCCGGGCACCTCGCCCGCCCGGGGCACAGCCTTCGGCAGTCCGGGCTCGTGATGCAGGCTACCGGGCACCCGGAGCCCCTCGAGGACGGGGGTCTCCCCTTCCCTGCCGAGTCGGGCACCGACGTCTCCCGGGACAACGGCACCAGGCCCAACGCCACCCTCCCCGGGCCGCTGCCCGCCCTCTACGTGGCCCTGCCGGTGGTGTACGCCACCATCTGCGCCGTGGGGCTGGCCAGCAACACGGCCGTCATCTTCGTGATCCTGCGGGCGCCCAAGATGAAGACGGTGACCAACGTGTTCATCCTGAACCTGGCGGTGGCGGACGGGCTCTTCGCGCTGGTGCTGCCGGCCAACATCGCGGAGCACCTGCTGCAGCGCTGGCCCTTCGGGGAGCCGCTCTGCAAGCTGGTGCTGACCGCCGACCACTACAACATCTTCTCCAGCGTCTACTTCCTGGCCGCGATGAGCCTGGACCGCTACCTGGTGGTGCTGGCCACGGTGCGGTCCCGCCGCGCGCCCTGGCGCACCCGCCGGGCGGCCAAGGTGGCCAGCCTGTGCGTCTGGCTGGGCATGACGGTGCTGGTCCTGCCCTTCTTCTGCTTCGCCGGCGTCTACAGCAACGAGCTGCAGGTCCCGAGCTGCGGGCTGAGCTTCCCGCCGCCCGAGCGGGCCTGGCTCCAGGCCAGCCGCGTCTACACGCTGGTGCTGGGCTTCCTGGTGCCCGTGTGCACCATCTGCACGCTCTACGCAGACCTGCTGCGCAGGCTGCGGGCCGTGCGGCTGCGCACGGGCGCCAAGGCTCTGAGCAAGGCCCGGCGGAAGGTGACCGTCCTGGTCCTCGTGGTGCTGGCCGTGTGCCTCCTCTGCTGGACGCCCTTCCACGTGGCCTCCATCGTGGCCCTGACCACGGACCTGCCCCAGACGTCACTGGTCATCGGCGTGTCCTACGCCATCACCGGCCTCAGCTACGCCAACTCCTGCCTCAACCCCTTCCTCTACGCCTTCCTGGACGACGGCTTCCGCAAGAGTTTCCACGCCGTGTTCCGCTGCTGACCGCCCCGCCCCACCCCACACCCTGGAGCACCCCGCCTACCCACCCCCTGAGCACCCAGCCCCTACCCCCACCCCCTGAGCACCCGCCCCCACCCCACCCCCTGAGCACCCCGTCCTACCCCACCCCACCCACCCCCTGAGCACCCGCCCCTACCCACCCCGAGCGCCCCATCCCAACCCACCCACTGAGCACCCCGCCCCACCCCCGCCGTGAGCACCCCACCCTCACCCCCTGAGCGCCCCACCCCACCCCCCAGGGAGCATCTATCTGTTCATGGCTGTCTGGTCTTCTCCACCCAGAGAGACTAAGACCCTCGGAGACTGGCCACCAGCCCTGCAAGACGGCCATGACGTGTCCCTGCCACGTCTCTGCTCCCTGGGCAGCCCCTGGAAGGCAGCGGCAGGGACCTGGGTCCGGGCAGAAGATCCCCACGCAGCAGGTGTCCTGGGCTACCCGCCCCAGGGAGACAGACGGCCCCCTGGACAGCGGACAGCCCCTCTCTGGGGACCTGAAAGCCCTAAAGATAGGTCTTGGGGGAGGGGACCTGGACTGTGGCCTTGTCCTTGAGCACTGAGGTCCACAGCCAGGACCCCTGGTCTCCTCCGAGACAGGACTGGGAGGCGACCCAAGTGCGGGCCCCTCGGGCTGCAATGCTGGGACTGCTGTCCTGTGGCTGCAAAGGCTGAGGATGCACATGTAGAACGAAACCATGAAAGCCACTGCGAGGAAGCAAGGCCACCCTTCCCCAGGGGCCCGTCCGCCCCTTCATGCCCCATGCCATCTGTCACCCTGACTCCTTCCTCCCAGGTGGGGCCTGGCCTGGACTCAGCCAGCAGGAGCTGTGAGCTGAAAGCCCAGGTGGAGGGTTCTGCGGAGCAGGCTGCTCGGAGACCCCTGACTGTGGGTGGGAGAGGCCAGAGGCAGGTCCTGGAAGACCATGCAGGTGCGCCGTGGCCAGACCCCCTCAGTCCCAGCTCTGGGCTGGCCCCAGCCTTGCTGTGTGGTGGTGAGTTGCCCGGAATGGTTTCCGCTCTCATGACCCAGAGCACTGACCAGTCCACCCAGCTGGCATGCAGGACCCGCCAGTTACCACCCCACGAGTGCCCTGCCCCGAGGAGACCGCCCACCTGCCCCGGGGGGACCGCCCACCTGCCCACCCCCCACTGCAGGCCCGGGGGCCCTGCCTGCGGACACAGAACTGCTCAGCCTATGGCTGCTTAACAAATTCCTCCAAAACTAAGCAGCTTCAAACGACGTTTATTATTTCACAGCCTCTGTGGGCCAGGGCTTTTGAAATGGCTTGTTCGGGCGGTTCTGGCTCAGGGTCTCTCGTGAGACTTCAGTCGAGACATTGGCCAAGACTCTGGTCACCCAAGGGCTGGGCAGGGACTGGAGGAGCTGCTTGCCAGACGGCGTCCCCGGCGCGATTCCCGCGGGAGGCCTCGGCCCTCCCCACGCACGGTGGCCGCGAGGTCCCAGAGGGCCCGGAGGAGCCTCAAGGCCGTTGGTGACGGAGTCTCGGGGTCACCCAAGTCCCCTCCCCACGCACGGTGGCCGCGAGGTCCCAGAGGGCCCGGAGGAGCCTCAAGGCCGTTGGTGACGGAGTCTCGGGGTCACCCGCGTCCCCTCCACCGCATGGTGCTCATTAGGAGCAAGTCGCCACGCCACGCGGAGCCAGGGAACGCGCCGTTCCTGGAGCCGTTGTCTCTCCTCAGCGTCTGCAGTCACACCTCAAGCCTAATTACCACGTCCGCCTCCGCTCAGTCCCTAAGAGCTCCTCTCAGTCCCTAAGAGCTCCGCTCAGTCCCTAAGAGCTCCTCGAGGAGACGCTCAGACTCTGGCCTGCGCTTCCCAGGCGCCGGGCCCAGCTCGAAGGAACGGGGAGCCAGGTGTGAGGCTTGAGGAGGTGCCAACAAGGGAGGTGGAGAGGAGGTGGGGGGGCTTGAGGAGCAGGGAGGGGCACCAGGCCAGGCAAGAGGCAGGGCCAGTGCCCCTGCCCGCCCCACCTCCACACCAGGTAAGGTGCGCCCAGGCTTCCTCTAAGAACCAGACCCGCCCCACCCACGCCCAGCAAGGGAGCCCAGTGTCTTCCCCTGGGGACCAGGAGAGGTCAGGCACAGCCAAGGACAGAGGGGCCCTCCCCCAGGGCCCAGCAAGACCCAGGGACTAGGGAGCCACAGCCAGCCAAGAGGGAGGGAGAGGCAAGCCCTCCCCAGGGTCTGCGCCCTGCACCAGGACTGCCTGAGACTGGTGGGGCCCGGGGCAGGGGCCCACACTGAGGGGCTCACCCTGCCCTGCCCCCAGCTCTGGGAGAGCCTGGTCCAGGCTTCCAGACCCCAAACCTCACTGCCGTCCCCTCTGGGACCCTCAGCTGGGCCTGCGCGGGCCTACTGCGCCCCCTGGTGGGCAGAGTCCAAAGCAACTGGTGACCCCAGGTTTCCTGAGGTGGGGTGGGACCCCTGAGCCCTCAGGACCCCCCCAGCCTCTCCCCACGGCCCCACAAGGAAGGCTCCACAGTCCCCTTTGCCCAGAGGAGGAAACTGAGGCTCAGAGAAGTCGAAGGACTTGACCAAGCCCAGCAGCAGGGGAGGGGGTGCAGGCAGAGGGGAGGCAGGGGAGGAAGAGGGGGCACAGTCCTGGAGAACCCCCACCCTTCCTGCGGCCCCTCGCCCCTGCCAGACCTGGCTCCTGGCAGACGCCAGCTGTGGTGTTGGCCCCGGACCCCCCACGGTGGAGGAGGGTCAGCAGCCCAGGACCCCAGACCGGGCCTCCTTGGCCAGGTCACCGCGTCCCCTGCACCGTGGGGCCTGTCCACCCTCCCGAATGCCTCCTCAATGCTAACATGTGTTTGCGCAGCGCTGTGTCTTACGGCCTCTCTGTCCCCCCAAGTCTGTGTTGAAACCCTGACCCCTAATGTGAGGGATGAGGAGTGGGGCCTTGGGGGATCAGGGCAGGAGGGTGGACCCTCGGCCTCCTGCGTGGGGTCGGGGACAGCCCCCGCCAGAAGCTGACCCCACGGACACCCCGATGGGGCTTCCAGCCTCCAGAGCTGTGGGAATAAACGCCTGCTGTTTATAAGCCGCCTGGTCTGCGGAGTCTTGTTACGGGAGCCGGGATAAGATAGTGCTCATCCTTAAAACTTGCACAAAACCAGCCCTGGAGATGAGCACTTCGACCGGAGCACTCTCACCCCGCCCCACCCGAGCCCCTCCGACAACCTGGGCAGAGCTGGGCCCAGGCGGAGCCGGGGAAGGCTCAGCCTCCGAGGGGCCACTCTGCTCATGCTCCGCCAAGACTGTCCTCAGACCTGCTCCAGGGACGTGGCAGGAGTGGGCTTGGGCTGAGAGGGAAGGAAGAAATCCCTGCCGCCCCGGTGGGAGAGGCATCTACCCACCGGTCCAGAGGACCCTCTCTCCACGGGAGGCAAGAGAGAGGTGCAGCAGTTGGTTGTTGAAGGAGAAACTATTTGTGCTGAAGCAAAGGCAGCAGCCCCTGCCAATACACCGTGAACCAGACTCACTCTCCCAGGCTTGGGCATCCTGGGTGACCCCCCCACTAAGGCAGAGCCCGGCCTGTTGAGAGCACAGCGGAGTAGGTAGGAGGATCCTTGACCCATACCCGAAAGCCCCTCCCACCCACAGGCCAACAACCACCTCGTGGCAGGACTCAGAAGCTCATGCAGAAAGAAGAGCCCCGGCCAGCGAGCAGGTGTCAGGGCTCCCCGTCATTGCCGCAGAGACAGGTGCAGGGCTGGCCACGTGCACGGGAGATGAGACTTGCTGCATGCATAAATACACGAAGATGCACATCACACCAGCACAGATTCACGAATTTTTAGCCTTGGCAAGAAAACAGCGCAGCCAGCCAGCTCCTGCCCTCAGAGCCTCCTAGCACAGGCATCGGGGAGAGCTCAGCCTCCCCAGGAACAATCCCCATGACCACAGTTCTCTGAGGCAGGAGCCAGCCCAGGCCCTGCGGCTGAGTTAGCCAGCGCTTCTGCTTTTTGCAGGTGCCTAAGGTCACCTGGCCAAGGTCTCAGTAAAAAAAAAAAAACAACAGAGTCTTTTCAATGTTGCAGATATGTCAATAGTTCGTCTGCAGGAAGGGACACCAACCTGCAGCTTCCATCTGCAGACCAGGTAAGGTGAGTCCCTGGGCATCCCAAGGTGCAGAGACGGCCCCACAGTGATCCTGTAGCCCCAGCGTGGCTCGAGCAAGGCCTGCAGGCCCGTCCCTGGCACCGGCTCTGTGTGCAAAGCCGTCCTCTGACTTGGCAGCAAGCTCAGGCCTTACCCAGAGACTCCCCGAGGGGTGCGATGAAGCAGGTGGTCACGCCGGGAAATCCTCCCGCACAGCCCAGCACCGCCGCCGAGCTCTGGTTTCAAGCAAAGGAGGGGCTGTGGTGGAGTCCTGGGAGGACGTGGGGATCCCCAGGGAATGTTCCCTGCCTTGCCCCAGACAGAACGGCCACGACTGGGAATGCAGGGCGTCCACCTCGTGCGTGAGGGAGCAGCGCCTTCCTCCTGGGCCGCATCCTGCACACGCAGAAGCGGAGTTCACAGGACAGGCCGCGGATGGCAGCCCGTCGCATTTCCGGAAAGGGTTGCTGGAGTCCTGCAGGGAGGTGGGCGTCAGGCCCAGAGCCAGGCGGAGGCTGGGCGCGAGCAGTCAGGCGGCAGCCGTGCTGAGACACAGGCGAGAACACGCCCACGGCCCCCAGCACACGGAGAACGCTCAGAGAAGCAGCTGCCCGGGCCCGCCAGGGCCTCCAGCCACCCAGACACCCTCCGTAGGCAACCCTGGCTGCACAGGTGGGGTCAGGGCAGGCAGGTGGCAGCTCCAACCTCAGGGCAAGTCCCACCCCAAAGAAACGCTGCCCGACGCACGTCCTGGGCGGCGCCAAGCCTGTCAGCTGCCCTGAGCAGAGACCACAGGGCCCAAGGCTGCCAGAGCCCCGCTGTGCACGCAGTGCCCGGCACGTGGCTGCACACGGCCGCACAGTTGCCGTCACACCCGCGGGTGTCCCGTCCAGAGGACGTAGGTCCACAGACTCCACAAGGGGAGAGGCCAGAGAGAGTCTGGAGAAAGCAAGTGCGTGGGCTCCAGCCGGGCACGCCCACCAGGGCAATGGATGCTCCATGTGCCCCCCAGCCCTGCACGGGGGGTGGGGGGGTGGGGGTGGGGGGAGCTTTAATCTGACCGGGGCCGCGGAGGCAGCCCTCATGCTGTGGCCTGTCCCGTGATGTCACGGGACCGAGTGTCCCTGGGCCAAAGGGGAAGAAAGCCCACTCAAGGCTCCGGTCTGAGGGCTCAGGCTGCGTCAGCCTAGAGGGCAGTGACCTGCGTGAGCTCCGTGTTGGGCGTCGACGGGCTCTGTGGGCTGACAGGCGCCATGGGCAGGTCCACGCCTAGTCATGCCGGCCGCGGTACAGTCTCGGAGGTCTTGCAGGCCAGGGCCACATCCTTGGCAACGCTGCGCACGCGGTCAGACACCTGCGTTTCCCGGCGCAGGGCAGACGCGCAGCAGAACTTTCGGAAGCAGGCCTTGAAGTTCTCGTCCAGGAAGGCGTAGAGGACGGGGTTGAGGCAGCTGTTGACGTAGCCCAGGGCGGTGCAGAAACGCAGAATGGCCACGGCGGTCTCGCTGCCCGGCTGAACGCCCAGCCCCTGGACCAGCACGAAGACCTGCACGGGCGTCCAGCAGCCCACAAACACGGCCACCACCACCAGCACCAGCCGCGTGATGCGCCGCAGGTTCCGGTCCTTCTCACGGGAGCCCGAGAGCAGCCGCACGCCACGCAGCCGCCGGATCATGAGGCTGTAGCAGACGGAGATGATGAGCACGGGGATGATGAAGGAGAAGAGGAAGATGCAGACGGCGAACACGGGCCCCCAGTAGTCCTGCGGGGTGGGGATCTCCACCAGGCACTCGATCTCTGCAAGAAGAGAGACGGGTCAGAGCGGGCCCCAGGAGACAGGGAGGGCAGGCGGCTCAGAAGAGCCCCCGGAAGCACAGGGAGCCTGGCACGGGGAGGGGAGCCGCCCACCAACCTTCGTCCTCCACCTGTGCCGAGCCCATGATGGCAACGGGGACGCCGACCACGGAGGCCAGGGCCCAGATGGCCACGTTCACGGCCTGGGCTTTGCTGGACGTCCGGACATCAAGGGCGCGGATGGGGTGGCAGATGGCTACGTAGCGGTCCACGCTCATGGCGGTCAGCGTGAAGGTGCTGGTGAACATGTTGTAGTAGTCGATGGCAATGACCGTCTTGCACAGGGCATTCCCAAATGGCCAGAAGCCCAGGAGGATGTCTGTGCCCTGGAAAGGCAGCGTCAGCAAGACCAGGGTGTCTGCCAGGGCCAGGTTAAAGATGTAGATGTTGGTGGCTGTCTTCATCTTGGTGTGCCTGCAGAGGACAGGGAGGAGAGGGCTTTGTTTGGCCACCCTGGCTGGACCTGGCAGCAAAGGGCAAGGGGTTCATCTCTTTGGCCCCCAACGAGGGGCACCATCTCTGAGTCCCTCAACATCCATGTCCCCAAGGGGCTGGTAGGACGGTAGGCTCCTGGACCCAAACGGAGACCCACTGAGTCACCTCAGGGGATGGAGCCTGGAATCAAACACTGTGACAAGCTCCTTGAGTGATTCTGACACACACAAAAGGGTTGCAACCTTAAAGACTGGTCTGCTTTGAACAGCGGGGGCATGTGGGGTACTGGAGCACACATGGACTCTGCACAGGAGCAAAGGGGTAGAATAAGAAGAGAAAGAACTGTCCTCCCTTTTGAGTCTCCCCCAAAACCCCTCGTAGACTCAAATGCTGACCCTCCAGCTGCCAGAGGTTTCTGAGGGCTCCGGAGTCATAAGAGCATATCGAAGGCCTTCCCCGGCCGGGCCCAGTGGCTCACGCCTGTAATCCTAGCACTCTGGGAGGCCGACATGGGAGGATCTCTCAAGGTCAGGAGTTCGAAACCAGCCTGAGCAAAAGTGAGACCCCCCCATCTCTACTAAACATAGGAAGAAATTAATTGGCCAACTAAAAAATATATAGAAAAAATTAGCCAGGCATGGTGGCGCATGCCTGTAGTCCCAGCTACTCGGGAGGCTGAGGCAGAAGGATCGCTTGAGCCCAGGAGTTGGAGGTTGCTGTGAGCTAGGCTGACGCCAGGGCACTCTAGCCCGGGCAACAGAGTGAGACTCTGTCTCAAAACGAAAAAAAAAAAAGGCCTTCCCCGTCCACACTGCTATCCAGTAATGGAGACAGAAGATGGTGACAGGGACAGGAGGGAGGCTAATGGGGTCTGAGTGTATCCAAGTACCTAGAACAGAGCTGGGAAAGTTGTAGGTGATTAATAATTTTTTATTGAATTAATTAATTATTGTATTATTAGAGGGGGGAATTATGATGGTGATGGTGGTGGCAGTGGTGGTGACAGATGATGATGATGGTGGTGATGGTGATGGTGGTGATGATGATGGTGATGGTGATGATGATATGATGATGGTGATGGTGATGATGGTGGTGATGGTGATGGTGATGGTGATGATGATGATGGTGGTGATGGTGATGATGGTGGTGATGGTGATGGTGATGGTGATGATGATGATGGTGGTGATGGTGATGATGGTGATGATGGTGGTGGTGGTGATAATGATGATGGTGATGGTGATGATGGTGATGATGATGGTGGTAATGGTGATGATGATGTTGATGGTGATGGTGGTGATGGTGGTGATGGTGATGATGATGATGGTGATGATGGTGGTGGTGATGATGGTGATGGCGATGGTGGTGATGGTGATGATGATGATGGTGATGATGGTGGTGGTGATGATGATGATGGTGATGGTGATGGTGATGGTGGTGATGGTGATGATGATGATGGTGATGATGGTGGTGGTGATGATGATGATGGTGATGGTGATGATAGTGGTGATGATGATGGTGATGATGGTGGTGGTGATGATGATGATGGTGATGGTGATGGTGATGGTGGTGATGGTGATGATGATGATGGTGATGGTGGTGGTGGTGATGATGATGATGGTGATGGGGATGATAGTGGTGATGATGATGGTGGTGGCAGCAGCTCCAGAGATAACAATATTCTATATCAGTTTAGCTGCCAGATTTCCATCTGGGGTTTAGTTCTGCCTCTTAGAGAGGAATTATGAATAAGCACAAAAAGGCCTCAATTACAACCAAACAGCAATAATGAAAATGATCATGGCAGATACCTGTGCCAAGGTCTTCACATGGATTTTATCTCACTTAAGACTTACAAAAATGCCGTACTGATCCCTACTCTATCAAGGAGGGAACTGAGGATCTAAGTTGCTTCTTTAAGACCTTAGGGCCAGTAAGAAGCAGAACAGGGCTCAGAACCAGGTGTGCCGGACTCCAGGGACTCCACCCCAGTCCGCTGGCTCAAAGACAACGTGTGCTGCCTCTCGGGCCAATGTGGCTGGCAGTTCCTGAGCATCATTCTCTCTGGGGATCTGATGGGCAAGATGACCCTCCCTGTTTGCTTTAATCCAGGAAGTGGCTCTGAGAATTTTAAGCCCCACTGCAGAGGAGAGACAGAGAAGGGAAGCACTGACAACAGGAAGGGTGGTCAAGACACACGGACCTCCTCAGGTTGCTGTACTTCTGACCCATGACACACCCTCCAGCCACAAAGGGGCAGGTGGATCATGGAAGAGTCTCCCCAGAATCCTCCCATGGGGATTGGCACTGGGGAGGAGGCAGCTGCCCTTCCCACCCTGTTGTCTGACCATGCATCACACACACATGTACACACACATGCACATGCATGTGGTTATGTGATCCACCTTCCACATTCCAGATGAGAAAAACAAGGGCCAGAAGGGAACAAGGTTTTCTCAGAGACACTCAGAGGATGGGGTTGGGGAGGCAGGGCCTGGACACCCCCACTTCCCTGCCCTGCCTCCCCAACACCGTTCCTACCCTGACACCCCTGGTTGGGGCCTTTGAGGTTATAAGGAGGAACCACTTTCTTTAGAGCTCTGAGCACTTTCCTCAGGACACACCCTGGATCAGTAAGAAACTTAATTCTTGCCGTGCCATGTTCTCGCCTGGGCACCTCCCACGGCGCCCTACTACGTAAGAACCGTCTCCTGGCCTGCCATGCAAAACTCCACCTGCCGCCCCAGCCCCTTCAGTTCTCTCTTATCTGGATGGGTGGGGTCCCTCGTTTCCTCTGCCCATAAAACCCTCCCTTTCTGCCTGGGTCACCTCTGTCCTCTATGTGCCCAATGCACATTCCATGGGAAGGGTCCTGTCACTCCACACACTGTCCCCACCACGCTGTCCCTCTACCCTGTCCCGCTCAATGTCCCTCCACCCTATTCCCCCACCCTATCTCCCCCACAATGTCCCCCCATGCTGTCCCCTCAATGTCCCCCCACTGTGTTCCCCTCAATGTCCCCTTCAGCATCTGCCCTATGCTGTCCTTCCACTCTTTCCTCTCTTGCTGTCCCCCTCAATGTCCTCCCACCCTGTTCCCCCACACTGTCCCCATACTGTCCCCCGACTCTGTTCCCCCATGCTGTCCCCTCAATGTCCCCCCATGCTGTCCCCCACTCTGTTCCCCCATGCTGTCCCCTCAATGTCCCCCCATGCTGTCCCCTCAATGTCCCCCCATGGTCCCCCTTGCAGTCCCCTCAATGTCCCCCCATGCTTTCCCCTCAATGTCCCCCATGCTATCCCCCATGCTGTCCCCTCAATGTCCCCCATGCTGTCCCCCTCAATGTCCCCCATGCTGTCCCTTCAATGTCCCCCCATGCTGTCCCCTCAATGTCCCCCCATGCTGTCCCCCTCAATGTCCCCCCATGCCTTCCCTCATGTCCCCTGCTATCCCCAGCTGTCCTCCTCAATTCCCCAGCTGTCCCCTCATGTCCCCCTGCTGTCCTTCAATGTCCCCCATGCTGTGCCCTCAATGTCCCCCCCATGCTGTCCCCTCTGTCCCCCTATTGCTGTTCCCTCAATGTCCTAATGCTGTTCCCCCTCAATGTCACCCCAGCTGACCCACTCAATGTCCCCGATGCTGTCCCCCATGTCATCCCCCATGTTGTCTAATGTCCCCCTATGCTGTCCCCCAATGTCCTCCCATGCTGTCCCCTCAGTGTCCCCATGTGCTCCCTACATGATGTCCCCCCATGCTGTCCCCTCAATGTCCCCTTGCTGTCCCCTGATGCTATCCCCCCATGCTGTCCATTCAATGTCCCCCCTTGCTGTCCCCCATTGCTGTCCCCCCTTGCTGCCCCCTCAATGTCCCCCATGCTGTCCCCTTCATGATGATCCCCATTGCTGTTCCCCTCATGTCCCCCCTTGCTGTCCCCTGTGCTGTCCCCAGCTGTCCCTCAATGTCCCCCTTGCTGTCCCCATGCTGTCCCTCAATGCCCACCTGTGTCCCACACTGTCCCCATGCTGTCCCCCATGCTGTCCCCCTCAATGCCCCACACTGTCCCCCCATGCTGTCCTTCCACACTCTCCCATCAGTGCCCGTCATGCTGCCCACGCTGTCCCCCACACTGTCCCAACGCTTCGCCACGCTGTCCCCAACGCTGTCCCCATGCTGTCCCCACGCTGTCCCGCCATGCTGTGTCCCCCACTGCCCTATGCTGTGTCCCCCACGCTGTCCCCATGCTGTCCCGCCATGCTGTCCCCCCACACTGTCCTGCCATGCTGTGTCCCGCCTGTCCCATGTCCCACACTGTCCCCCCTGCTGTCCCGCTGCTTCCCCCACACTGTCCTGCCATGCTGTGTCCCCACGCTGTCCCCCGCTGTCCCCCACGCTTCTGCCATGCTGTCCCCCCATGCTGTCCCCCATGCTGTCCCGCCACGCTGTGTCCCACGCTGTTTCTCACCCCCCCCCACTGCTCCCACCATGCTGTTCCCCCGCGCTGTCTGCCATGCTGTGCCCCCACGCTGTCCCCCCATGCTGTCCTGCCATGCTGTCCCCATGCTGTCCCCCCACACTTTTCTGCCATGCTGTCCCCCCACGCTGTCCTGCCATGCTGTCCCCCACGCTGTCCCCATGCTGTCCCTCCTGCCATGCTGTCCCCACGCTGTCTGCCTGCTGCCCCACGCTGTGTCCCCCCATGCTGTCCCCACCTGTCCCCCATGCTGTCCTGCCTGCTGGTCCCACGCTGTCCTCCACATGTCCCCCACACTTTCCACCCCAGCTTTTCCCCCACACTGTCCCGCTGTCCCTCAATGCCCCCCACACTGTCCCCATGCTGACCCCATACTCTCCCGTCATGCTGTCCAGTCATGCTGTCCTCCCATGCTGTCCCCCCATGCTGTCCCCCCACACTGTCCCCCCACACTGTCTCACCACACTGTCCCCATGCTGTGTCCCCCCATGTCCCCCCATGCCTGTCCTCACTGTCCCCCATGCTGTGTCCCACTGTCCCCCATTCGTGGTCCCCCACTGTTCCACTATCCCCACCTGTCCTCCCACATGTACCCACGCTGTCCCCCACACTGTCTCCCCACGCTGTCCCCCACACTGTCTCCCATGCTGGTCCCCCACTGTCCCCACCGGCTGTCCCCGCCCACCTTCGGTGGTGCCCTCCTTCGGCCCACGATTTTCTGCGTTCTGGCACCAGCAGATCACAGACTGAGCCGTGGAGGAGAGAAGGGGCTTCAGAACCAACCCGCACCTGCCCTGGTGCCTCCCTCTGCCCACCTGAGGAACGGGGGTCTTGTGGGGTCACTGAGAGCTCCAAGTCACGATCCAAGACAGCTCAGCATGGAGTGGCCCGCAGCTCAAACCAGGGCTCAGGCAGACACACCTCGCCTGGGAGGGACCCAGAGAGGCAGGGCGGCCGTCCATTGCTCCTGTGCTCCCCTGGGCTCCCTGTTCCCAATGCTCCCCGTGTCCCCTGTGTCTCTGTGCTCCCCTGTGCTCCCTTATGCTCTGTGTCCCCGGCTCCGTTCCCCTGTGCTCTGTGCTTCCCCTGTGACTCTGTGTCCTGTGCTCCCCTGTGCTCCTGTGCTCCTGTGCTCCCTGGTGCTCCTGTGCTCCCCGTGCTCCCCTGTGCTCCCTGCTCCCTGTGCTCCCTGTGCTCCCTGTGCTCCCTGTGCTCCCTGTGCTCCCTGTGCTCCTGTGTCCCCTGTGCTCCCTGTGCTCCCTGTGCTCCCTGTGCTCCCCTGTGCTCCCTGTGCTCCCCTATGCTCCCTGTGCTCCTTGCTCCTGGTGCTCCCTGTGCTCCCCTGTGCTCCTCTGTGCTCCCCTGTGCTCCCTGTGTCCTGTGTCTCTGTGCTCCCTGTGCTCCTCTGTGCTCCCTGTGCTCCTCTGTGCTCCCCTGTGCTCCCTGTGCTCCTGGCTCCCGTGCTCCTTTGCTCCTTGTGCTCCCTGTGCTCCCTGTGCTCCCTGTGCTCCCCTATGCTCCCTGTGCTCCCTTTGCTCCCTGTGCTCCCTGTGCTCCTGTGCTCCTTTGTGCTCCGCCTGTGCTCCTGTGCTCCTTGTTCCCTGTGCTCCTGTGCTCCTGTGCTCCCTGTGCATCCTGTGTCCTGTGCTCTCTGTGTTCCCTGGCTCCCTGCTCTGGGTGTCCTCTGTTCCTGGTCCCTGTTGCTCCCCTTGCTCCTCTGTGTCCTGTGCTCTCTGTGTCCCTGTGTCCCGTGCCCCGTGCTCCCTGTGCCCCTGTGCTCCCTGTGCTCCCTGTGCTCCCTGTTGCTCCCTGTGCTCCTCTGTGCTCCCTGTGCTCCCCTCTCCCTCACCAGGCCCCTCCCTGGGGAGCTGAGCGTCCAGGGACCCAGGGCTGACCCCACCCCCTGGACAGGGAACAGGAAACCACCACCCGCTCAGGCCCATCCAGAGCAGCCCCCTGCCTCAGTTCCCCAAGCAGCCTACCTGAGGATGACATACATGACGAGGCAGTTCCCCAGCAGCCCCCCAACACACACGGCCAGGTACAGCCCCACGATGGTGACCTTGAGCCCGAGCGGCAGGAAGGCGCCGTGGCTGGCGTTGAGCAGCAGATGGGGCGGCAGCAGGCTGTGGTTGGGGTTCAGCAGGGACAGGTTGTCCTGAAGGTGGCCACCGTAGAGGACCTCCCAGAACGGGGCGGGGAAGAGGGACTCCATGCCGCTGTCCTGCAAAGCGCCGGGCACGGCACCTGGGACAGATCGCAGACAGGTGACTGCAGTACCAGACACACACCCGGCCGAGGCCTGGAACAAGCACACGCAGCCCAACAGGAACACAGACACCCCAGGCAGCACGGACACCTAGGTACACAGGCACATACAGGTGCACACGCAGGAGCACACGGAGACCTGAGGACATGCGTGCACACACACACGGACACATAAAACACAGAGACGCACCAGCACCCACAAGGACATGATCTCAGTCGGCTTACAGACTCACACACAGGCTGCGTGACTGTGGCTACACATGGGGACACGTGTCCACCCACAAGGACTCCCGGACACATGGCTGCTCGTGTGCTCACAGGCATAGGGATGCAGGGACACATGTGTGCCCACACGCAAACACGGAGATGCCCAAACGGCCTCCATGCGCCTGCAGACACAAGAGAGACAGACGCAGCCGGAGGTCCCTGAGACAGAACGGGGAACGACATGGTCCCCCTGCGCCTCCCAGCCCAGCCCAGGCAGCCGCAGGCACCCTCAGGCCCTTACCTCCGCAACCTCCTTGCGGGCTGGGGCCACGGCACCCGGCCCACTGCAGCCGGCGGCAGGGCAGGGGCAGAGCGGGTGTGGCAGGGGCCACTGGCCTCAGCCCAGGACCTGCAAGGGTCTGGATGGTGTGGGCGCGGCGGCAGGCGGTGGCTCCTTCTCCTCTGCAGACGCCAGACCAGACCAGACGCAGCAGCCAAGTGAGCGGCAGCCAGAGCTGGGGGAGGGGAGGAGGCTGCGGCTCCGGAGGGGGAGGGGCTCTGCTGGCTGGAGGAGGGGGCCCGCAGGGAGGGTGTGTCACCTCGCCCAGGGCCCCACACTGGATGGGGACAGACACGGGACCAAGGCACACGTACGGAGACGGGCAGCGAGGCTCAGAACCGCAGACCCGGACAGGGACTCGGGGACAGAGGCAGCCACAGGTCCACGGAGACTCAGACACAGGGACAGACACGCACGAGGACACGCAGACTCAGACATGAGGACAGAGACTCGGGAGCCGCACACAGAGACGTGAGACCCATCTCGCACTGAGAGACAGCCTGGGCAGATTGGCCCGCAGCCGGCTCCCCGGGGCGGCTGAGCAGGCCCAAGGCAGCGCCCCCTGCGCTTTTGGCAGATCTGAGCCTGGTACACAGCAGGCGGGAAGCCCGGATCCGACACGGAGCTGGCACAGCGCTCACCTCACCGTGTGCCCCGTGCCTACTGCGCACTGAGCCTGCAGGGGCGTGAGCTCATTAACCCTTACTACACCTGGCCTTCCCATGAGAGCATGAGCCCCAAAGGAGAAACCGAGGTCAAGAGGCAGAGACCGGTGGAACCCAGGTCTGTCTGTGGCGTGGAGACACACCAAGCGCATCTCTGCCACGGCTGGGCCCCAGAGCCACGCCTGAGCATCAGCCAGGCCCCCAGCACCCACACAGCTGAGCAGTTCCTGTGGAGTTGCCAATGCCAATCTTCTCGGCATTGGGGGCACATGCACAGGCCACTGAGATGAAAGGTCATAGGTCAAGCCATGTGGGTGACCCCTAAGCTGAGTCACCAGCCCCCAACCAGTCATGGGGTTGTTCTTCCCGCATGGGCTTTGAAGGAGAGCCAGACCTCTCCCCAACCAACACAGCCCAGACCCTGCTCAGAGCACCTTCTCCAACCATGGGGACCTTGTTGCTAGGCAACTGGCAGCAGTGTTGCTAGGATACCTGGCAAATCGGGAGGGGACGGCACGGGCAGATGCTCCAGGACTCAGCATCCTAACCTGTCCCGCAGGACTCCCCTCTGCATCTTCACTGCAACCAGGACTCAGGGACATGTGTGAAGACGCAGACAGGTCCACGGAGATACTCAGGGACACACGGGGACATACGTTCCGCAAACACACACAGCGGTGCCTGAACAGGCACATGGGTGAACGCACAGAGACACGGGTACATACTCAGAAATGCACATACAGTCACAGGGATGCACAAACACATGGGCCACACACATGGCCACCCCAAGCTGCACGCAGGCACACAGGTAGACATGAGAGTGCATGGACGCCTTTGGGAACAGGCAGACACAGACCAAGGCCCTGACTCCCAGGAGACACACATATGTGCAGACACATTCCACATGTAAAACTCAAGGCCCAACCCTGCTGACCTGGGGAGCCCAGGAGAGACGGGGACCCAGGCAGGCCCGACTCCCCAGCTGCCCCCAGCCCGGCCCATGGAGGTCTGAGCAGGAGCTGCCACTCTGCTGCCTGCCTGCCACCCGCCCACAGACCCTCATTGCCTACCAGCCTTCCACTGCCGCCCGCCAGGCCCCACGCTGGGGAGGGGACGCCATAGGCACTGTGAGGTGGCAGTGCAGAGACCCCCACCTGATGCTTCAGCCCAGGAGCCAGTGTCAGCGGCCATGGCAGGTGGGAGCAGGGGCGCCTCACCCCTGCAGCTGCAGACCCCTCGCCTTGTGGAGAGGGGGCAGGTGGGGGTTGGGACAGCCAGGAGGAGGAAAGGGAAAGCAGTGAGGAAGGAGCAAGGGCAGAGGAAGAGGAGGCAAGAGGTCAGCCAGCGCAGGTCAGACCTTGCTCCCCATCCCCCCATCTCTTTCGACCCTGGTCCCTCTGGCCAGGGTCCACCTCCCTGCCACACCCCAAGGTCGCCCCCACCCTGGCCTTTCAGGGGTCAAGAGAGGCCTCAATCGCTGTGTGGGAGACAATCGGAGGCCAGGGCCAGGCCTCCGCACCCTCACTCCAGACGCTGTCCCTCCTGCAGCCCGTGTTCCGTGTCATCCGCCCTGACACATATCGAGAACCAGGAACACATATGCACCAGGATGACACCTGCCTTCTTCCCAGGTGGGCCTGGGCCTGCTCCTCCCTCCCTCATGTCTGTTCTGGCTTCCTCTACAGACCCTCCCCCACCCCAGCCAGCTCCAATCTGACCTCCTCCAAGAAGCCTCCGCTGCCCTGCCCACCTCCCCCAGCCCTGTGAGCCTGCGGCCTGGGCTGTGACTCAGCCATGCTGCACCAGGCTGGCCTGTGAGCTCCGGTCGCAGCCAACAAGCCCTGAGAGCATGTGCAGTGGCGCCCAGCACACGGACCAGCGGGAGGCGGACGCCTGGCCCCTCACAGGCGCAGTCTTAGACAGAAGGCCAGGCCGAGATGCTGATCACACTCTCTGGGGTTAGCAGGTGCCCAGTCCCAGACCCCGAAGGGCTCCCACACGGGGGTCTGGTGGTGCAGAGGAAATGGCCCAGGTGGACAGGAAGAGCTCTCCAGAGGGCCAAAGGCAGAGCCAGGTCTGACACAGAACATACGTGTCATGCAGGGGACACAGGGGACATGTGTTATATGAGACAGCATGTGTTGTCAGAGTAAGATGACCTTAAACACACATGTCATAGGCAAAACAACACGCAGGTATACCCAGGACAGCCCAAGACATGAAGTACGCATGAATAACAACACAGAACAGACGTCTACAAATTCGGTTAAAGCCAGACATGGGCTGTACTTGGAGGTCCTCTGTCCTCGAGCAGGCCTGGCCACGCAGGCCGACCAACAGGGCAAACGCACCTCACTCTCCCGGAGACACAGAGCCTCCGCGGGAGCACACTGCCTACTCCCCTCCTTCCCACAGCCCCCACCCTGGGCTGGGCACAGGGCCGCCCCACACAGAGCAGCTGACGCCTGGGGAATTCAGTCACCAAGCCATCCTCAGCCATTTGTGCTATTAAAAAACTGAAAGAATTTTAACAATTCTGAGTTGCATCAAAATATTGGGGAATGTCGGGTGCTGTAGGCTTAAAGAAAGAAAAACAAAACCAAAAATATAAAAAAATAAATTACTTTGTCCTTGTGATTTTAACCATATAAAATTTATAGACACTGACAAAAGAATTGAGTTGCATTTTTTTAATATAATGTTAAATTTAATTTTGTAGTCATTTTGTAGTCACTTAATAAGGTTTATTAATTTGATTTTGAAGTTGTTTTTTTTTTTCTTTTGAGACAGCCTCACTCTGCTGCCCAGGCAAGAGTGCGATGGTGTCAGCCTAGCTCACAGCAACTGCAAGCTCATGGCCACAAGCGATCCTCCTGCCTGAGCCTCCCAAGTAGCTGGGACTACAGGTGCATGCCACTACACCTGGCTTATTTTTCTATTTTTAGTAGAGACAGGGTCTCACTCTTGCTCAGGCTGGTCTTGAACTCCTGACCCAAAGAGATCCTCCCGCCTCGGCCTCCAAGAGTGCTGGGACTACAAGGTGCATGCCACTGCACCCGGCCTAAACATGCTTTTAGATCTCAGCATCCCCACTAGCCCTTGAAAACTCCTGATGTCCTGAGGACAGAAACAGATGGGAGACCCTGGTCCTCGAGCCCAGCACAGCTGGTGCAACAAGTGTGGAGAAACAGCAGGGTCATGATGTGAGCGGGGTAGGCCTGGGAGCACCTTGCCAGGAATTAGGAGGTGGAGTGTCAAGTTTTCCAACCTACAAAAACAGAAAGAAGATTATGAGTTCTTTCTTGCAGGAGAACAGAACATTCCCTACTTCCTGTGTGACCTCCACCCCACCACCAGGAACCAGCTAGCCCCCTCTCATGTGACTCCCTGGTCTGGATCCGGGGAAGCTGAGAGGAGGGTACGGTCCTGGTCTCAAAGGACTCACCCCAGTGGGAACACAGAGGCAGTCCCAGCCTGAGTTTCCTGTACCCTGGAAGGCTGCTTGGAGGAGGTGGCCTGCTGGGTGAGCCTCTCTAAGTCCTTAACTGCTTCTTGCCAGAGCCCAGGGAACTTCGACAAGCCAGGCTGGTGCTGAAGCTCAGGCCACAAGCTAAACGCAGCTGCAGCAGGGGAGCGAGCAGCTCAGGAAGGCCTTTCAGGAGAACGGTTGTGCAAAGGCTTGGGGCTAGGGAAGAGGAACAGCCTTTGCACCTGGCTGTGGGAATGCGGGTGCAGGCTCCACACACAGGGCCACAGAGCCAAGGCTTACCCTCTCACTGAGAGGTCAGGGCGAGATTCCAAAAACAACGGGAACAGTCAACAGCCTCCTAAAGAAAGGCCAGAACCTCAGCCGAGCCCCCATCCCGTCGTCAACCAGGCTGGTCCCCCTCTCGGCTGCTCAGGCTCCAAACTCCCAGAGGCACCGCCCGGGACCCTCCAAACTCCCAGAGGCACCGCCCGGGACCCTCCAAACTCCCAGAGGCACCGCCCGGGACCCTCCAAACTCCCAGAGGCACCGCCGCCCGGGAACGCCCTCCAGATCTCCCAGGAGGCCACCGCCCGGACCTGCAGACTCCCAGAGGCACCCCCGGGACCCTCCAGACGTCCCAAAGAGGACCGCCGGGACCCTCCAGACTCCCTTAGAGGGCACGCCCGGGACCTCCAGACCCAGAGGCACCGCCCCGGCGACCCTCCAGACTCCAGAGGCACCGCCGA